GTAGTGATGGTGATCTCTAGGTGGAGTCGCTGACTGTAGTAGTGATGGTGGTCTGCAGGTGTAAACACAGACATGTAATGGTGATGGCGGTCTGTAGGTGGAGACACTGACAAGTAATGGTGATGGTGGTCTGTAGGTGGAGACACTGACAAGTAATGGTGATCGTGGTCTGTAGGTGGAGACACTGACATGTAGTAGTGGTGATGGTCTATAGGTGGAGACACAGACATGTAGAAGTGATGGTGATCTGTAGGTGGAGTCGCTGACTGTAGTAGTGATGGTGGTCTGCAGGTGCAAACACAGACATGTAGTAGTGGTGATGGTCTATAGGTGGAGACACAGACATGTAGAAGTGATGGTGATCTGTAGGTGGAGTCGCTGACTGTAGTAGTGATGGTGGTCTGTAGGTGGAGACACTGACATGTAGTAGTGATGGTGGTCTGTAGGTGGAGACACTGACAGCAGTGGTGATGGTGGTCTGCAGCTTAAGACACTGACATGTAGTCATGATGATGGTCTGTAGGTGGAGACACTGACATGTAGTAGTGATGGTGGTATGTAGGTGTAAACACAGACATTTAGTAGTGATGGTGGTTTTGCGCGTGTAAACACAGACATGTAATGGTGACGGTGGTCTGTACTTGGAGACACTGATATGTAATGGTGATGGTGGTTTTGCAGGTGTAAACACAGACATTTAGTAGTGATGGTGGTTTTGCAGGTGTAAACACAGACATGTAGTAGTGATGGTGGTCTGAAGGTGGAGACACTGACATGTAATGGTGATGGTGGTCTGTGGGTGTAGACACTGACATGTAGTAGTGATGGGGGACTGTCGGTGAAGACACTGACATGTAGCAGTGATGGTGGTCTGTAGGTGGAGACACTGACATGTAGCAGTGATGGTGGTCTGTAGGTGGAGACACTGACATGAAGTAGTGATGGGGGACTGTCGGTGAAGACATTGACATGTAGCAGTGATGGTGGTCTGTAGGTGGAGACACTGACATGTAGCAGTGATGGTGGTCTGTAGGTGGAGACACTGACATGTAGTAGTGATGGTGGTCTGTAGGTGGAGACACTGACATGTAGAAGTGATGGTGGTCTGCAAGTGTAAACACAGACATGTAGTAGTGATGATGGTCTATAGGTGGAGAAACTGAAATGTAGTAGTGATGGTGATCTGTAGATGGAGTCACTGACTGTAGTAGTGATGGTGGTCTGTAGGTGGAGACACTGACATGTAGTAGCGATGGTGGTCCGTAGGTGGAGACACTGACATGGTGTGGTGATGGTGGTCTGTAGGTGTAAACACAGACATGTAATGGTGACGGTGGTCTGTGGGCGGAGACACGGACATGTAATGGTGATGGTGGTCTGTAGATGGAGTCACTGACTGTAGTAGTGATTGTGGTCTGTAGGTGGAGACACTGACATGGTGTTGTGATGGTGGTCTGTAGGTGGAAACACTGACATGTAGTAGTGATGGTGGTCTGTAGGTGGAGACACTGACATGTAGTAGCGATGGTGGTCTGTAGGTGGAGACACTGACATGGTGTGGTGATGGTGGTCTGTAGGTGTAAACACAGACATGTAGTAGTGATGGTGGTCTGTAGGTGGAGACACTGACATGTAGTAGTGATGGTGGTTTGTAGGTGGAGACACTGACATGGTGTGGTGATGGTGGTCTGTAGGTGGAAACACTGACATGTAGTAGTGATGGTGGTCTGTAGGTGGAGACACTGACATGGTGTGGTGATGGTGGTCTGTAGGTGGAGACACTGACATGTAGTAGTGATGGTGGTATGTATGTGGAGTTAGGCCAGGCCGTCTATCCAATTCATTCCACAGATGCTCTACCGGTTCAAATCCGTGGATCTGGAGGGCCAGGGTAGAACATCAACGTTGTTGTTGTGTAGACAGGCTCTTGCGGTCCAGCGTTGTTCTGCTGCAATACACCATTGCCGTTGGCTGCAAATGGGAGGACGTGTGGTAGGAGAATTACGTTGATGTATCGTTGAGCCGTAACATTATCACGTCATCACGCTACTTCCACCACACCTGTCCACTTCCTGCATGATGTTTCTGGCGTAATGTTCTCCCCGACGTCTGTAGACCTGTGTTCTTCCATCCTCTCGACGGAGAAGAAATATTCATTCGTCGCTGAACCAGACATCTCTCCATCGCAGTTGAAGCCATACCCTGGGCTGACGACACCAATGTAGTCGTTGTTCACGATGTCGACTCAATATGACGCGTCGAACAGGACCTCGTAGACCTGCTGCTCTTAAACTGTTTCGTACGGTCTGGTCGGAGATTCTGCGCAGTCCGGGCATGTTAGATGCGGTTAAGGTGGCTGTAGTCGTCCTTTTACGTAGGTGGCGTAGTCGGATGAGGCTATCTTGGGCGAGGATGGTTGGTTACTCTTGGTCGTCCCGACCTTGGTCGATCACGTGTTGACCCATGCTGTTGAAACCGATACCATAGACTTGTGATGGTGCTGGGCGCTACATTTAAAAAAAACCTGGCTACAGCTGATCTGGATTCCCCTTCCTGCAAGCGGCCTATGACGTTGTTTCTTTGCCCTTTTGTTAATCTTTGCATGTTGTTGAACTGTCACCGTTCGATTGACGAAGATGCCAGGCAATCAGAAACCCTGCACTTTCAAACCGTTCATAGTGCTGCTGCACGTGCAGTACGTGCAGCTCCATGGCCCTTTTGTTAATGCACTGGGTGCGTTTTTTCGAATCGTACCTGTTTTCTGACCAATGGTTTGTCCTTGGTTGTGATCATGTTGCTCCGGGAAATCTGTCCCTGACACTATAAGTCATTGAACCTCTTTATTTTGATACTCTTGGTCCTCTAATTTTGCTTTTATGGCCAAACATTTCGGTATTGCATTTCTTTCTTTGAAGAGTATACTACTGTCGCTATTATATCAAGAACTACCTGTTCCCATCTGAAATAAGCCTCTCTGAAATAAGAATTTTAATTTATAAAGCATCAGATTCTAGATCCATTATGTTAACGTTTCTAGATAGTCCTATTGATTGTTTTGTCAAAAATAATATTTCTCCTCAATACTTTGGGTGTTTCCCGTATGCACTGGCTGTGCACAGAAATTCTCACAATGAATTAAGGTTTCTCTAAAAAGTACTGTATCATTTTATACTAATTTGATTTACGTATATTATGTTATCAAATAGTCTCAAATCTAAATTCTATTGATTTTCTGTTTCAAACATGTCACTTGCTTCATGGTTCTGGTCTGTACCGTACACACTTTACTTGATCCAAGATCACCATTAATACAGATGTCCCGCATGTACGGGTGTATGTGACCTAGTTTTCGCAAACAACTTGCGTCATCAATGCTTTTGAGTCATACATTGATATAATCGTCACCGGCATTTGCCTTTTACGCCCCATGGAATCTGAATTAATAAACCTTTAGGTTCTTGATCCACAAAACTTAGTCGTATTGAGTTTTTTTTCATGATAATCCTTTTGCTCAATACGTGTCATAATTGTCACCGCCATTTGCCTTTGACGTCCAACGGAATCTGTTTCGGCGATAATCGAGACTGGTTTTTCTCTGGCGTTGCCGTTATTTTGTTACAGCTACATGCAGCTTTTAAAAAAGTTAGTTGGTTCAGGACGTTGTGATCAGGACTTCAGTTATACCATGACGTGTCAATATAATGTCGGATGAGAGCACTAACTGACACAGGCCGTAGTGTACGCTTTGTTGTTGTACGGGTTTTGTTACAACCAGGTAATTATAATCGGGACAAATCAGGGATTCGAACCCACGTGCATTGGAATCTCTGCATAACGATTTGCAGCGCCTTACACGAGTGAACCGTCCATGCACACTCAACCGATGGAACAATTAAAGTATGTAAGAAATAAAGACAAACGCATGATATACATTGCTAGTCGTTCTGTATTATCAACCATGGAAAGCTAAAGTACAACAATACCATTCCATATGCTCCAACACACTACAATACTATTCCACATTCTCAAACATACTGCAATATCATGCATATTCTCCAGCATCAAAAACCATGATTATTCTACTGTCGACATAATACCATGTACTAACTGTTCCGATTTGAAATAAGCCTCTCTGAAATAGGTATTGTAATTGATAAACCTTCAGGTCCTAGTACCCATAAAGCTTACGTTTATTGCTAGTCCTATTGATGTTTTTGTCATTAATAATTCTCTTGTTCAATACTTTGGGTGTGCCCCGCATGAACCAGCTGTGCACATATGATCTAACAATGAATTTAACCTACAGGCTCTAGATCCATAAAGACAAACAGACAGTCAGACAGACAGTCAGACAGACAGTCAGACAGACAGACAGACAGACGGACGGGCGGATGGATGAACAGACAGACAGACAGACTTTTTTTTGTACTTTAGGCCCTAGGCCCATAATACAATCAAGATGGATAAAATAATTACATTGTTTGGAAAAATATATGATGTTAACTGAGAGCTAGGTTGCACCTAATTTATTATCTGCTGTATGATCGAGCTAATAGATCCATCTATAGAGAGAGCTGTATTTCATTGATCGTGTTGCATAATGTAATGATACCAGACTACAATGTGGTTACTCCTTGTATAGTTATACAAATACTGTAAATCTCATTATGCATTTATCATTGATGTAGACTGAGACTTGAAAACATAACTATGTCAGTTAGATGGCATTTATAGTGTTTAGAGAATAAGTAGTAATATTATGATCGTAATGGTGATGTTTTAGCATTCTCCGTAATGTAATCATAAAATTTGCAGAATGTCTTTTTCATCTTTTGCACCATGTGTACTTATTGTCTGGAATATGATTTGACTCTAACTTGTTTAATTTCTGTGACTGTAGGTGCATAGCCATAGAGGCTTCACACTGACTGTTTTGCACCATTCTGATACAATAGATGCCCCCTTGAGTAATTGTTTTTACTGCACGCGAGTATGTCGCGATGGTCAGAGAGTTTGAGAAGTGTGGAAATTCAACTATTGAGATGTGTGTCATGGCCGAGATCCACTCTTCAGGTACAGAAAACATGAATATGAGATAATATTCAAGATTTATAGGCATTTCATAAGCTGTTGTCAGTCAATTTCTTACATTTATTGGAAAGTTGAATTTTTAGCCACCTGCCATACTGTATCCTATTTTCGTTGTAGAGGTGCGCGTTATCGCAGGAAAATCTTCATATATAGCAAGTTTTATGTCATAAAACCTGTGTTATTGAGATTATTAATTGTGTTAGACACTATCTACTGCCAACATGGTCAGTGTTAATGCTTTATTTTTATATTTGTGTGTAAACATAACATTATCAAAGTTGCATGTAGCAAGGGAGCAGCCATTGTATTACAGTGTAAGGTATCATGCTATTGCTGTGTTGCAATTATATTATAAAAGAGTACTTCAGCATGTTTAATTACATGTATTGTCATGACAGTGAATGAAGGATACATTCAATTACATTGCATCATTCTGTAATTTTCAGAACCCTTGAAAAGTAAATTCCGTGTTAGAAGAAATCTCGGCTTTGTGATCTCTGTATGATTCTTTCTAATAATTCCTACCATAATGTACAAACTGAATAAATAAATGAGTATGTGAAAAAGAAACCAAAAATAGCCTTGTAACATGAATTAGGACAACGATGTTGAGTGCAAATAGTGATGCTACCAAGACACTTGGATATTCTTATAGTTATCACGTTTATACAATCATGTGACCTGTAATGGGTGGCGAGTACTAAGATCTGATTTTAATGAAATTGTGAATTTATTGAATAGTGTCATTCCATGCCAAAGCCTTTCGCAAATATACAGCAACAGTCAACTGTCATAACAATTTACAAAGGGTTCTGGGAACATTTCTTAGCGCAGGGAAATCAAGCAGTAGTCTGAAATTATCAGTAACATAATCTTATATTGATAATTTCTTCATATCTAACCAGGATAATATATTAAGATTTTCTTATTAATGTTGGTTTTCATTTTGCTTTGAAAAATACAGCAGCATACGAAAGTCGTGGATTGTAGAGAGGAACTTATTTGATTTGACAAGTTTTCACTTGGAAGTCGTTGGTATTGATGCTGTACTACTGTGACCATCGCAAAGCAAAATATTTCAGGCAAATGTCAACAAAACGGACAAATATTCAAATCACGAATATAATTATTCGTAACATAATTTGGTTCTGAACATCACCCCCAAGTGCCAGCCCCCCGGGGCACCATCACCCCCAAGCGCCAGCCCCCTGGGACACAATCACCCCCAAGCCCCAGCCCCCCGGGGCACCATCACCCCCAAGCGCCAGTCCCCTGGGACACCATCACCCCCAAGCGCCAGCCCCCTGGGACACCATCACCCCCAAGCCCCAGCCCCCTGGGGCACCATCACCCCCAAGCGCAAGTCCCCTGGGACACCATCACCCCCAAGCGCCAGCCCCCTGGGGCACCATCACCCCCAAGCGCCAGCCCCCCGGGGCACCATCACCCCAAAGCGCCACCCCCCTGGGGCACCATCACCCCAAAGCGCCACCCCCCTGGGGCACCATCACCCCAAAGCGAACAAAATCTCAACTCAACCCCAAATCATCAACTACAAAAACATAAACAACCGCACACCTATCCCGGGCAGGACAACCACACAAACACTCTTTCTCACATTCAAAACAACAAAACTACCTCCACACATTCTTTTTGGCACATTCACATACAAAGTAAATCAAGTCAGAAAAAAACCACACAATCCTTCATATGCCACTCATTCGACCACCCTACATCCACATGCAGACAACCGCCCATGTGTCAGAAATGCGGCTCGCATAGACACGAAGCTGCGGAGTGCACATGGGCCCCATACTGCATTCACTGCAAATCTGAAGGACACTCGGTAACACAAAACACCTGCCCCACAAAACAAATACACATACACCAACGGGCATGAACTTAAGGCAATCATTGCCCTTAACAGAATTAGACCTTGAAATAAATTAATAAATTGCAGTCCAGGAAATATCTCCCAAAAGAGCCTTCAAAATCCCAGGCTATATTTTCATTCGGCAAGACATATTCAACTCAAATTTAACCAACACCATCCACAAAATAGCTACTAAACTCATACCCACAACAACACACTCCCCGACACATACACATGTCCCTTGGTTGAGCTCAGAAAATCAAGGAAACAAAGGCAAAAAGCATTATATAAAGCCAAACTCCCTTTGGCCAGACATTCTGCTAAACAGCTCATTAGAACAGCCAAAAGAAAACATTGGGAAACCTTCACTAGCACCTTGAAAATGGGGAAACAATACCAAAATTCTATGGAAAAAACTAAAGGCAATTAATGGAAACCAAAAAACTTTTATAACACCCACTATTCCTAATCTACATACAGACAAAGAAAAGGCTAATTGACTACATGTACGTGTTTCCTATTGTATGTACTGTTATATATATCTATGTAAATATTGTTTGTGAGGTGAGACTCAAATGATCAATCTGTCTGTATGATTGTAAATTAGGCCGACTCTGTAATTAGATACGACTTTTTCTTAGGCGAGTGACATTGTGTATTCAAGAGTAAACTGCCCTTATTATAAAAAGAAGATATTTTACTGAAGGTATTAGTCAATCCGCATATACAGAGAGACAATCTCAATGAATTGCGATTTCTAACATCATGTACGCGTATTCGTGTCCACAATCATAAACTAAATTATAAAAAGAATATTTACAATATATGTGTCTGTATGTTCTAATAGCTACAGGGCATATTCGGATAAGACATTAGACAACGCACTAGTGAGAAAATGGGAATTATCATAAGAAGGCTGTTCTGTTTTTCTGAACTGTTCCCAATTTCAAATCAAAAGTGACAATGCATCTACAAGCTGCATTCGTGTCCCAATATTCACTAAATTCTGCATCAATCGGAGGAATATCATATCATTAATTTGCGAGCACCCCCGCAACCAAATATAATATTGTCGATATATATGGTATACACCTTCAATGTAAAGTTCTACATGTGAAAACTCAAAACCCAAGTATTCTTCTCGGAGTTTGTTATCACCTGTGTCTGTGACTCGGTTACAAATGATGGTGTATAACTTCTCCAGCGCAATGAACATGGATGGAAATCAAATGTTCATATAAGGAAGGTGATGACAACTGAATCTCAAAACTACTCGGAATTATGGGGGGATTGCTAAATATTAGATCTTTCACTAGAGTGTAATAACCACATGTATACCTTTTTTACACGATATTTACACACGCATTTAACTTTATTGAATATATTTGAACACAGTTTACACATTATAAATGTACATCGTGTTGCCACACTGCCACATTTGCCACACTGAATTGATCATTCTGAACACAATATGGTTATAGCCTGCAACCTCGGGGTATCGCGGTACTTGTCATGTACGCTAAACGGAACAAAATGCACTCACTAACCTTTATGATTATTCGTGATCTGTATATCAGATATCATTCATGTTATCTAACAATGCATATTTTACTGATAAAAGTTCATTATTTACATTAGTAGCTCCGAGTAAAAGCCGGGCCTCGCGCTCTGTTTGACAAGGGAGAGAACTCCATCGTATCGCGGTACAGAGAAAAGTTGTGTATGGAGGTCCGAATTGGACAAAAAGAGGACATAATTCTACCAACCACTTGGTATGATCATGCCAGACATCAGTGATTTGTCCAGACAAGTGCAAAGACAGCACAAGTAAAATTCTAAATGTATTATCAGCAATAGGTATTCAATGCATTTTTACCGAAAAGTAAGAGAAAAATATTTTTATAAGTAAACAACAAAATATCAGAAATTATATTTTAAGATTGTCTAAAATAAAATGGATGACAATAATTTGTCACAAAATGGAATTTTTTTAAAAGTCAACAATAAATATATTAAAAGCACTCCTAGTATGCCCAAAGTATGTATTTATCTTTTGATTACTAGTGAAGAACGTATTTCTAAGTTTGGTATTATGGCCCTTATGATCTCCCAATAGATTCTGGGCACTGAGCGGGAAAAAATGTGCGGACTACGTAACTTCCGTTACCTCATTAGTCGCCATGAATATGCAGATGATCTAGTTCAGGTCGATAGAGAAAGTTTACTTGGAGAACTGCGGGTTATATCGTTGGCCATTGATAGATGGGGCAAGGCAATATTACAACAGATGCCAGAAACATGTATCAACGGATTAATAACTCCTTACTTACAGCAGACGGAACATTCCGAGGAAATTGAAATTGTTTACGAAATGTGCAGTTCCTCGTTACTGATTTGCATTAATAGACAGCCGCTAAGAGGCGTGTCCCGCGTGAACTATCGGAAATCACAAATGCCGCGATACGATGGGGTCCGAGTATACACCGGTTATCAAATACTACATGTAATGCACTTCATATTGTTATCAAGGGTAACTGTCTGGCCACGCTAATCAGGACGCCCCTCCATACATGTACATTGTATGTGGTTTTTAACCAAGTACATGTACATTGTATGTAGTTTTTAACCAAGTATATGTACATTGTATGTGTTTTTTAACCAAGTACATGTGCACACATCAACTGTGATATGACCAGTGTCAACGTGGTATTTATCTAACCACTACATCAGTAAATGCTGACATATGAAGACAAGAGACACGATTTAAGAGGATCATCAATCAAATATTCATGACAATAAAAATATTTAATGACAGCATTATTATAGCAGGAATATTTTACAAACCGGTGTTTACATGCATTTATCAAACATTACATGTACCTCAATCCAATCACAGTGTAGCATCATAGTATACATTGTACATGTATGGAGACTATTGCTATGTGTTGACGGCGTGAAGTCCCATATAATTCCTAATTAGTGCCTTTAAGCAATAAAAACGGTTTCGCAGAAATTCGCGGTTTGCAAATCATTCACGAATTATTGGCAACTTATCCGCGGAATATTAGCGGATTATTCGCAATTTTGCTGGAGAACACGATAACTGACTTTTGCGACGTAGTGTTGAAGTGTACATACAGACCTGATAAACAACACACAAATTAATTATATCCGAGGTTTTACGAATAAGTGACACACATAGAGGAAAATTGTTTTTGTTTAATTTCCTTTCCGTTTTGATCATCTTTAAACACACACACACACACACACACACACACACACACACACACACACACACACACACACACACACACACACACACACACCTGTCCCTAGTTCACAAAACTGCTGTTCTCTTCTCAGTACGTGTATTGATTTAATTATATTGTTCTGATATATGAAGCTGATTAAAATTAGTTTTGAGTATTCCTTTTAAACCACAATTTAAGTGTTAAACAAACCAAAGTCGAAATTAATCAAGTACGATAGAGAACATACCTTCAGCGTGTCGAAGTTATGTATCAAGGCCAGACCAGCAAAGCTACAGTGTGGCTCAGCGATTGTTTGGTCACTGAACATGCAAGATGAAAATCAATGTGCGGCGTTGCATTGGGCTTTCAAGCTGTTGCCAAAAAAAGCAATTACAGGTGACATTGTTACAAGTTCATAGTTACATAGTTATATTGTCTATGATTAATATCAATGAGAGAACAACGGTAACTATATAGTCGCCTTTTATGGCAAGCATGCGTTGCTAAAAACACTTATTCTCTCCCGGATTTTCACAGGTTCTGGTCGATATGTGGAGACACTGACATGTAATAGTGAAGGTGGTCTGTAGGTGAAGACACTGACATGTAGTAGTGATGGTGGTCTGTATGTGGAGACACGGACATGTAGTAGTGATGGTGATCTGTAGATGGAGTCACTGACTGAAGTAGTGATGGTGGTCTGTAGGTGGAGACACTGACATGTAGTAGTGATGGTGATCTGTATGTGGAGACACTGACATGTAGTAGTGATGGTGGTCTGTAGGTGGAGACACTGACATATAGCAGTGATGGCGGTCTGTAGGTGAAGACACTGACATGTAGTAGTGATGGTGGTCTGTATGTGGAGACACGGACATGTAGTAGTGATGGTGATCTGTAGATGGAGTCACTGACTGAAGTAGTGATGGTGGTCTGTAGGTGGAGACACTGACATGTAGTAGTGATGGTGGTCTGTAGGTGGAGACACTGAAATGTAGTAGCGATGGTGGTCTGTAGGTGGAGACACTGATATGGTGTGGTGATGGTGGTCTGTAGGTGGAAACACTGACATGTAGTAGTGATGGTGGTCTGTAGGTGGAGACACTGACATGGTGTGGTGATGGTGGTCTGTAGGTGTAAACACAGACATGTAGTAGTGATGGTGGTCTGTAGGTGGAGACACTGACATATAGCAGTGATGGTCGTCTGTAGGTGCAAAAAATGACATGAAGTAGTGATAATGACCTGTAGGTGGAGACACTGACATATAGTAGTGATGGTGGTCTGTAGGTGGAGACACTGACATGTAGTAGTGATGGTGATCTGTAGGTGGAGACACTGACATGTAGTAGTGATGGTGATCTGTATGTGGAGACA